AAGCATAAGATTAGTAAACTATAGATAGAATTTTTTGAAAGGAAAAAGAAAAGAAAGCAAGACAAGGGAACTATGTGAATAAAAGCACTGAGGCGTCTCCATGTGTCATGATCCAAAGTCAGGATTTACTCTGAGCCCTGTCCTTAAGACTCTGAGATCCTCAACATAACTTTTATATAAGCCTTTCTGGGCTTTTTTTCTTGGGGGGAAAATCAGGTACTTGGCATTTCTTTCAAATAATAGTTTTAGACACCACTGTTCATACTAGCTTAAAGAAAACCTCAATCAACTAGCTGTGTTATCTTGAGCAAGTCATGCAACTACTCTTGTTTATTATTATTACCTCCTATGCTAAATGGGAGGGCTGAATCACAAAGTCGCTAAGTCCACTTAACATCAAGTCCTCTATCTCTTTTGAAAAAACTGAATAGAGAAAGCTCACAAGTTATGTCTTCAATATGTGAAATAAAAAAATATCTACCAATAATTTTAAACACACTGAATAAACAGTTGCTTGCAGAAAGAATAATTTGAAAAAGCAGAGAATCAGAGTAAGGCAGACACTGATCTAGTCTTAGCCTATTTCTTAGGAGATAATGACCTTCAGCAAGTTACTAAATCTTCAGGATTTGTTTTGAAAATTAAAGGTAATGTATGCAAAGCACTTACTAAGCCAATGTAAACCACCCCTCACACACACACTGGAAGCAATCATTTCCAATATAGAAAGAAGCCAAGATAAGTATCTACCAAATCACTGATTTCCAAGATCTGAAATATCCTAACTAGTTCATAACTTTCCCAGCAATTTTAGAAATAGGAAGCAGTGTTGGCCTCAAAATTCTGCAAGTTTAACAGAGTAACCCTTAACAACTATGGTGCAAGGGGTCTCTTTTAAATACAAAGATAAGAACTATAGCTCCATTAATTAATAATTCAGAAAGCCAAAATGTTTATAATATAGCACAATACTGAAATTTGGGCTTAACTCATCTCAGATATGATGAAAACATTAATTTGGGCATTGAGAATTCAAATATATAATCGGATAGTGCTTAAGTTGTATCTTGAACAAATCAGTAACACTTCTGAAAGAAGTAAAGAGTCGTTCTTAACAGCAGGGAGAATACAGAAGATGCTTGAAGTCAGTAAACAGTATGGCTCTTTCAATGCACTAAATGTATTGGTAGAGCTGAAGCCTGAAATACAGGTGGGAAAATGGCAATGACCCAAAAGATAGGGCCCTATAACAATAAAGAATAAGAAATAAATAGTGGAGGTAGAATGAAGTATGGGCTTTAAGAAAGAAGCACTGAACAGATTTCCATTTTAGAAAAACTACCCTGGCAGTAGTGTAAAGTATGGATTAAAGGGGGTTAGCCACTAGAGACCCCATTCTACACTCAGTTAAATAAGGAAAATAACTTACCATATAGGTACTCTATTACAGTAGCAAGGACCAGAAATAAAAATAATGTTTTAGCCGATAAAGCTAAATTATCAAAAGGAAATCATTTACTTTCATGAATGTATATTCTGGAATTAAATATTTCATACATATTTATCTCTTACAAAGGAAAAGGCTTTATCTAAAATTAGCTGTGAAAATTACATGGAACTAGCTATATGTTTAGAACTAGCTAACCTTATGGCATCTATCCCTTCCTGCAGATATAAATACTGCAGATCTCCAAACTAAAAACCAATGCAATATAGTGCTTGATATTAGACTGTTTATTATTAACAGGGACTTCTCTTGCTTTAAGTTCATATATATGGAAGCTAAGGCTCTAGGAGGCTAAGCAGTTACCCAAGTTCACAGTTACAAGCATAGTGAAGACTTAAGATTCATATTTCATGATTTCCTAGAAATTGGTTAGTATGTCATATTTATGAGTCTAGAATTTGAATGATAACCCCCAAGACACTCTGGCATAGTCATTTTCAGCAGTGTAGTAATGAACTTAGAAACTATGTTTGTTTCATAACAAATATCTACTAGATGTACATACTAGATGTGCATATCTACTAGATGTGCAAATGTTTGACAAAAAGGAACTTCTACCTTAAGTGCCATAATAAGCTCTTCCCTGCCACTATATTCTTCTCTAGGGAATCTAAAATATTCTTCTCTAGGAAATCTAAAAAGTTCTTTTCTCATGTTCAGGAAACAATTAAATTTGAGAAAAGAAATGCTTAAGATCCATCTAAATATATTAACTATCCATCCACTAAACATACAATGCCTTAAATACATGTTAACATTTTACTTAGATCTCAGTCTCTTTCTTATTTTGTTGTGGTCCCCACCCATATAATTTTTTGATACTTGAAATACATTTTTCCCCTCACTAGTGCACACAGTGGAAGTAACAGTAATAATACAAGTCTTATACATACTGTACATTTCACAAATCTGCATAATGACCAAAACGTTTTTAGCGTTCTCTAAACTCACATCAGTAATGTCTGCTCACTGAAATAGAATCAAATAATACAAAAGCATAAAATTAACAGCTCTCTTCCTTTGCTTCTGCAACCCTCAAAACAGTTTTATGTATATCATCAAACACTTTTTATGCCTATTTAAGAAAAGGTGCCATGCCTCAGTCACAGATTTATATATTTAACTCCCAAACTCTGATGTTCATTTAATTTTTTTAAATGATTCAAAAGACAGATTATCTTGCTTAATTTCTATCACCACTGACACCAATTACTCCATCATATGGGGTGTAAAAAAGTGAGCTGAACCCCAAGTACCCAGTATATTTCTTCTTATCAGCGTCTCAATTATTTTAAGCACTTATTTTATCTATTTGTTGCCTTTCTCACTTTATGTAGGTTACAGGAGAGTTGAAATCATTTACTGTGACATCCAGCAGATAATCAAATACTTGCTGACTGATTGGCCTACTTAGACATTAAGAACACTGAGTTTTTCAATTACCAAAATATGCTTAATTTATCATTAGTCTTTCAAAAATAATGGGAAAAGGTCCACTTAATGTTTCCTGATAGTAGGTTCAACAAATATATCTGCTCAAATGACTACTCTTACTGGTTGGAATCAATACCAAAACAAAAAACAAAGCAAAATGCCTAAGCTCTGTAAACACGTTTATGTAGCCATCCCGTTGTTTTTTTTTTTTTTCAATGAGTGCAAACATCAAAGATTAACTTCATAATATCAAAAGAAATGTCACTTTTAAAAGTCTGTCACTAAGAAAAAGACTTAGGTAGGCACAACTGTTTGCTCAACTTGTCAGTTTAGCCAGAATTACAGAATTTTATTAGAGTATGGGCTCCACTGACTGTTTGTCACATCAGATGTCTTTTAAAGGCCTCTGTAATAAAGTAACTACTTAATCAAAAGAGTTAAGTGCAAACTTCCTGACCCAAACATTTTTGTACTCACACACATATATCATTCTGTGTGATACCGCTTAGTCCTGAACTAGTTACCAAGAACTCTACTGAAGAAACAAGACTAACTAGTGGTGGGAAGCCCATGGGGATTATAATTGATGTGAGAAAATGCACAAAATGTAGAATGATGTAAAACATATGCATATATATATGTATAATTAAAAAAAGAATCAAGACTAATGGTTCCTTTCATAATAAAAGTGCTAAGCAGGATTGTCTACAAGAGCTCTGTGAGCCATCCTTACAGGTCTCACATGAGGTTTTCCTAGAGCTCTGGCTTTAAGACTTCAAATTCCAATACATTGTCTGGAAGCTGAACTTCAAGTTAGCCCTCTCCACAAGTGCTTTTCAAAGGATGGAGAGAAGCCAGAACACACTTCCTAGCACTACCTACCTAACTTCAGGATAGAGCTAATAATGCAGGATCCGCATGGCAGACCACCGAGGAAGGGAAGCCAAAACCACACAGCTTTCCCCAGCTTTAGCAGCGTCCACAATCAACCTGAGGGCACACTCACCTTCCAGTCGACAGTGACCACATAAGCTGCTGCCACTGCCTTACTCCCTGAGCAGCCAGACCAGCACGCCCCCCACGGGGATACCCGTGCAGGGAAAAGAAAATTGCAGAACAAGCTCGTGGTTTCTCCAACTAGGCAACTAACACGGATCAATTCTCCCACTAAGCTGTGAGTAAATGTCGGCTAGAGAGTAAGAGACCTGCTCCAGGATGCTGATCAGCCACCTACTGTCTACTGGGTCAGGAGGCAACCAAAGCCCCATCGCGCCCGGAGCGGACCGGGTGTCTCCACTCAAAATCATCAGGGGACCTGCTAACTCATCCGGTCGCCCCGAAAAGCTTGGCAACCTTGCCAAGTTACCGCCCCCCTCTGGGCAAAGCAGAAATCCCAGTAAAGACGCTGGTTCCACTGTACGCCCACCCCCAGCAGCCACCCAGGCGGACCCTGATACGGAAACTGGACGCAGAGACATCGCACTCTGGTCCCGAGACCCCATTAACCACCCTTCTCCCCAGAAACCCAGACACACTGCGACTTCATCCCAGGTAGGAGAAACAGACGCCCATTCCCGCTCAAAGGACCGTCAAGAGCCCAATGATCTGCCCCTTCCGAGACCTAGGACCCTGCTCAAACTACATCCCCTAGCCCCAAAGAGCCTAGGACCCCGATAAAAGAACCCCCTGTCCTGGAACCCCGCTCACCACCTCAAGGAACCACAGGTCCCCGATAAATCTCCCTCCACCCCTAATACCTGGGACCCTTTATGCCATCAACCACCTCCACCACAGGTCGGAAGACCCCAGGGTCGCCCAATAAATCGCCCCTTTTCCCGAGAAGCCTTGGCACCCGCTACACCGCCCTTGGGCGACCGTAGCCGGATGCCGCTGCACCGCCTCCTCGCCCCCCGCACTCAAACCCAGCCAAGCCCGCGCCCACCAGGCAACATCGCGCAGCCCCCGGAGCCGCCCCCGTCCGGAGCCCGCCTGTCCGGGCAGCTCCGAGTCCCCGCTCCCCGTCTGCTCCTCCGCAGAGACGCGCTCCGTGCTTCCTTACCTGGTCAGCGTCGGAGGGCAAGCGGACCGGAGAGAACTGAGGAAGAGAAGCCGGCAGCACGGAAGGGGCGGCCCAGGCCTGCGGCTGCCGCAGTTCCAACCTCTCCGCGAGGAAGCGCTTGTGTGAGAAGAGCCCTCCCGCTCCGCGCGCAGCCAGGAGACCGAGCCCCAGCCGTGGCCGCCGCTCTTCCCGCGAGATCCGCGCCACGGCGAGGGGCGGAGCTACGGCGGGGCGGGGCAGCAGTGGCAGCCCGAGTGACAGTCCTGAGAGCCTATCGATGGCTGCGCAAGAGGTGGGACTCGGATCACATTGCAACCAATTGCAAGAAAGGAAAGGTAATTGGCCCCGCCCACAGCTTCTCCAGCCCTGACCGCGGCTCATCAATATACTGGAGGCAAAGGTAGCAGTGACCTTAGGTAATTAGAGGCAGTGAACATTCTCGCGCGCAGATAGTTTGTCCTACTTAGACACACGCGTTTCAGGAAAAAAGCCAGTCCCTCAACGGTAGAGGCTGAGGCGCTGTTACCCTTGGTTACAGCGAGGCCTGAAGTGCTCAAAATGTTCGCATATTCGAGTTGCAGGGGTACCCTCATGGGGTTACGGGTCTCCTTTCCCCCATCTAGGCCACTTAGTGCACTCCATCTCAACCGGGGCGCCAGTGTTGAGATGCCGCTGTTTTCTAACCCTCAACTTCAGAAGTCTGATCTGACAGAGGACCCTCTTCTGTTTGCCTATTTGCCTTCTTCTGTTTGGCGTTTTATTTCTACTTATAGCTTCCCAGAAGTACATCTCACTTGAGTCTCCCACATAACAAATTCCCAAATCACATGAAAAGTCATATCTCTGCAGAAGCCATGGTTGGGTATACATAAGGCACTAATAAAGGTGAAAAGAGTTAACAAGAATATAATTATGTGAAATCTGGGCCCGCCCCAGAAAATTCGTACTTTCCCAGCTTCTTGGGTACCTGTCACTTCTATAACAGCCAATTTCTTCATCTTTAAGTCCAGTCTCTTCATCACTACCTCTGCAGCCTCCTCCATTCATTGGCCCCTCCATCATCCTCAGTAAGAAGCCCCTTTCTCCTCATTAAAGTTAATATGCACCAGTTCATAGGTTGACAGCCAGGCCCAGATTTTGTTTAATCAATGCTCCTTTCTCCACTCTAGCTCTCTTCTCTCACAAACATACACCACCTTCCCTCCCCTTTGAACAGAACAGCCTAACCTACTCCTACCACTTATCAAGCTCCTCTTCCCCCTTGCTTCTCAGAAGCATACTTCTACATATGCTGTCTCCACTTTCTCATCTCTCATTTTCCCCACGACAAAGTTGCTTTCCTGATACAATCTGTTCCTAAATGGTCATCAAAGACCTCTCTCTCTTTTTTTTTTAAAGATTTATTTATTTGTGCTTACAGAACTGGGGTACAGGCCAGAGATGTAGGGGCGGAGAGAGGATTCACCAGAGATGGAGTGGGGAGCAGAACAGGCTGACTGATGAAGTACACTGCTGAGGGGAGCAGCGGGCGGGTCAGGAGAGGTCTGCCGCACCATGTGGGTCACCTCCTGGGCAGGCGGGGATCGAACTCATATGGAAGTGGCTTTAGCTTCTTAGTGCTGTGCTTTAACCTGCTGCACCACCAGGGAGGGCCCAAAGACCTCTTTTCTAAAGGAGGAGGGCCTCTGGGGGCATCTTCCACAATGACTTCTTTGTGGCCTTCTGGCAATGCTGGCATCTGCTTCTTGGGTACCCGTCTGGCAGCATTTGCCTAAATCTTTTCTGTTCTTTTCTGGTTCCCTTTCCTGGTTTGAAAACTGCTGCATATTTATGTCTCCTTATCTTATTGTTACACCTTGTATGTAATAAGGAAAATGGCCACACACACACTGGTACATGTTGAGTACCAATAAGTGGTCCCCACAAAAGCTATGGGAAGAGTCTAGAGGGAGGGAGATATGGTCATGACTGAGTGTTAAAGTAGTAGGTTGGCCGGTCCAAAATCAGAGCAGAAACAGACCTTTCAGAGGAAAATTATGTGAACCTGACCACTGAGGAAAGCCAGGCCAAGCCTAGCTGTAGAACATTTTCTACCCTGGTAGAAAAGCACTGGAAATTAAGATTAGAGAGGAACCAAATAGTAAAGTGCTTCAAAAACCAGACCAAGCTGACTCAACGTGATTGTGTATTAAGTCCAGAGGCAAAATCAACCTCAACGTGTATAAAACGCACAAAGGCTATATGTGGAGGCTGAAAAGGCAAATGTTTAAATATAAAAAATACAAAACAAAGCAACAAACTGCAAAAATTTTAAAATACAGTCTTTTTACCTTGACGAATAGAGATTCATAACAACTTGGAAGACAAGGCTTGAATTTTTAATTCCAGAACTCAGAGTTCCCTGCTGGGACAAGGCAAGTCAGGGAGTGCTGGTCCCCCACACAGAGCAGCCTCCAAGCCTGGCTTTCCACTGCCAGTTCAGCTCCTCTCAATGGGCTCTCCAGCACACATGTCCAAACTCCATTCCTACTTTACCATCTACAAAACTGTCATTTCTCAGCTACGCCACAGGTCTATGGGTGCATGTCTCAGGATATAAGAGAAAAGCCCCCACATACTTAGAAGTGATCCCAGAGCCCTCAGAATTCTTGGCAGAGAGTTCTGGCTTCTGCTGTGAGGTCTAAGGGATAAACTCAACTCTGAATGGCCACATTCCTTAGGCTAATGGACTCTTGCTCCTATAGACAAGTGAAGCTAGAGGAGGGCGCACCCCTTTAAAGGCAGACCCCTCCCACCTAGGTCTAAAGGTAGGAAGCAGAGCCACTGACTTTCTACAGCAGGGAAGTGACATATGCTGTCAGTTTACATCTTGAAGTACAAATGTGTGTTTTTTCTATGTCACCCCTTTACTCTTGCTCGGCTGTCTTAATGGCAGAATGTACCAGAAAGAAAATATTCCCAACTCTATCCTTATCTGGCATGTTCTCTCCAATAACCAGTTTCATGGTTGGTACCATTCTTTGATTTCCTTATAATTAGCATATCAGAAGCCCAGGTGTTCCTGTATGTAAGAAAATAGAAAAGTAATGAAGTGCTCTCAGTATGGACTAAAGCTTGGAACACTTACATTTGACTTCTAAATTAAGATGCTTTGGAAGTAGAAGCTCTTGCAGAGGCCCTGTGTGAAGGGCACACGGGAAGGATGGGTACTGAAAAGGCAGTAAAGCACCACAGACGGGGCACCTCCCTCACCATCTGTCCTTATGGCTTGATACTTCACTCTGTAGCCTGTTCTTGTAACCTCTCCATCTGGCACCAAGTGCTCCCTTCCTCATGGTGTGGGCTAAGAGCCACCCGGAAGCCCAAAACATCATGGTTTCTGCTTTCTAGATCCAAGCTGAGAATCCTGCCTGTGGATCCTGTACATCTCCCAGTGGTGCTGCAGATCTTCTCAGCGGGTGGCTCTGGCACTTCCTTGATCCTAGGGCTAGCGCTTCTCACAGGCTCCCTCACCATCTGTGGTGGGACTGTGCCAACCAGCCAACAGAACAGAAGAAACTAACTTCTTGCTCAGGTCTTACCATCTGCCGCCTGTACCTGACCTATGAGTACAGGTGAGTATAACCAAATACTCCTGTTCCTTGCTGACATCCCTGAGCATGCCTACTGCCTGGCTGCCTCCCTGTTCATAAAGGGTATAGAGATGATTATTTGAAAAGCTGAAAGCAGAGAGCTGACTCTCTTGGACAAAACCACCACCCTATCCTTTAGAGTTTTAGGGAAGTGTGTGGGTAGGCTGGAATTCTATGTGAGTTATCCCAAAACTGAGGGAGCATTATTCATCTGTGAGTGTGGTATACTTGTAACAGATACCCAGGCATCAAGGGGAGAAATCAAGAGAACTTTAGTGATTTTAAAATATGTCCACAAATTCTTTGCTATACCTTCCTTTTAGAAATGGAACTTACTTCCCCTCTTCTTTCCCTATATATATATAAGCTAGACCTCGTGACTCTCTTCTAACAAACAGAATAATAGAAGTGACAGTTCATGACATTTGACACTACGTTGTAAGAAGCATAACGACTTCTTCCTTGGTCTCCCCTACTACTCACCTGGAGGAAGCCAGCTTTCATGCCACAAAGCCACAAAAGGATAGGCCTACATGGCAAGAAACATAGGCTGCCTGTCAATAGCTGTTTGAGTGAATCATCTTGAAAATCCCAGTCTGGCCCCAATTAAGCCTTCAGGTTCCCCATACCTTGACATAACTTCATGAGAAGCCCTGAGCCAGAACCACTCAGTTAAACATCTCACAGTTACCATGCAGAAACTGTGAGATATAATGCAAGTCTACTCTTCTAAACCACTATCATTTGTTACACAGCAATAGATGGTTAATTCAAGAGTGCTGAGAATATTCAGAGAAAAGTGTGGGGGGGGGCTGGACTCATATCCTACTAATCATCATTCTCTATTTTACTTAGAAAGCAAAACACAGGCCTCCCTGGTGGCACAGGGATCAAGTCTCAGAGCTTTCAAGCTATCACCAGCCACTGTAACATTAGTTAAATCCCCAGCCAGGGAGCTGACCCACATGGTGCAGCAGACCTCTTCTGTCTCACCCACTGCTCCCCTCAGCAGTATATTTCAGTGGAATCACCTGTTCTACTCCCCACTCTGTCTCTGGTGATTCCTCTCACCCCCTGTACCTCTAATCTACACCCCAGTTCTTGTATGCATAAGTAAAATAAATATAAAAAAATAAAAAGCAAAAAAACACTAGATTTATAGCCAAAACTTGTTATATCTATATTCAAGTGGTATCACACTAACAGAAACTGGCTAGAAACCATTTATTGGTGGGAACAAAGATCCCAGGGCCTTCAGATGCTTAACAGCATGACAGAAATTATAGATAACAACAATCATGAAATCATTTAGAGGCAGTTAATAGTAGGTCTTAAGAAACGCTTAGAGTGCTTTTCAAATGTACTAGTCACCTCCAATCTAATGGGAAAGTGTGTTTCCATGAAAACAGAAGGGGAAGAAAACCTCAAACAAGCTCTTACCCGTCCATATTAACTTAGAATAGAATGTTGAAAATTCCATATATAGGGGCCTTGTCAAAATGAAATTGACATCCTGACACCATTAAG